GAGAACTTTGGCAAAGTTATCTGTGGTACCCATGAGCTATTGTTGCGTGTGGGAAGTGGGTGATTGAACAGTAAGATTCATGTGCTTTCTACTTCACCAGAAGTCTTCGACAGAATGCCCATAATTTCTGCAAAGCTGAGTGTGCGTGTGACAGGTGCTGACAAGGCTAGAAAAGTAGGTGCCTCTTCGATTTCTGAGATCGGCCCTCGTGGTCTCTGAGCAGCCCAGCTTTTGAGAAAGTGAGCGCCTCTTCAATTGATTCGGAGAACGATGCCTCATCGATTTTTGAAAAAGCAATCATGCTGGGGGTCTGGCTCTCGAGATTCGGGGAGCAGTGTCTCTTCGATTTTTGAGAAAGTAATCATGTTGGGAGTCTGGCTCTCGAGATTCAGAGGGCGGTGCCTCTTCGATTTTGGAGCAAGCAATCTTGTTGGGAGTGTTTTCTCGAATGTGAGTAAAGGTTGGGCATGTTTGCTAGTCTACCTTGCCACGAAGCATAGAGGTTGACACACAGGGACTTTCCAATTATCCAGCAATGGTACTGTTCCTTTACCCTCTCTTCGATTTTTAAGAAAGTAGTCATGTTGGGAGTCTGGCTCTCGAGATTCGGAGGACGGTGCCTCTTCGATTTTGGAGCAAGCAATCTTATTGGGAGTGTTTTCTCGAATGTGAGTAAAGGTTGGGCATGTTTGCTAGTCTACCTTGCCACGAAGCACAGAGGTTGACACACAGGGACTTTCCAATTATCCAGCAGTGGTACTGTTCCTTTACCCTTGTGGGTAATAATATGGTAGCTAGACCTTCAAAATTTATGGGTCTAAACTTTGTTAGTGCTGTTTCTTTGCTATTCTTTTACCCTTCTTGGTCAGAGCGATGTAGTGGGAGCTGCAAGCTTCACGTGCTCAACTTTGGCAGAGAACTTTGGCAAAGTTATCTGTGGTACCCATGAGCTATTGTTGCATGTGGGAAGTGGGTGATTGAACAGTAAGATTCATGTGTTTTCTACTTCCCCAGAAGTCTTTGACAGAATGCCCATAATTTCCGCAAAACTGAGTGTGCGTGTGACAGGTGCTGACAAGGCTGGAAAAGGCTGGAAAAGTAGGTGCCTCTTCGATTTCTGATATCGGCCCCCGTGGTCTCTGGGGAGCCCAGCTTTTGAGAAAGCGAGCGCCTATTCGATTTTTGAGATCGGCCTTCGTGGTCTTTGAGCAGCCCAACTTTTGAGAAAGCAAACGCCTCTTCGATTTCTGAGATCAACCCTCGTGATCTCTAAGCAGCCCAGCTTTTGAGAAAGCAAACGCCTCTTCGATTTCTGAGCAGGCACCTCTTCGATTTCTGAAGCTTCGTCGAGTGCAGATTTTTATAGGGGCTGGCATTAAGTTCCAAAGCACACTTGAATCTCCACCAGTAGAAGCTTCATTCTTGCACTTCTAAGATCTTGATTTGTCCGACCTCTTCTCTCTTCAACACCTTTGAAAATGTCTGGCCCCTCCGACCGTCGTTTTGACTTGAACCTTGTTGAAGAGGCAGCCCCGCCTTCTCCAGACAACATATGGCGCCCATCCTTCGTCTCCCCTACTGGTCCTCTTACCGTTGGGGATTCCGTGATGAAGAATGATATGACCGCTGCGGTGGTGGCCAGGAACCTTCTCACTCCCAAAGATAACAGACTACTTTCCAAACGGTCTGATGAGTTAGCTGTTAAGGATTCGCTGGCTCTCAGTGTTCAGTGTGCAGGTTCTGTGTCTAATATGGCCCAACGCCTATTTGCTCGAACCCGCCAAGTTGAATCATTGGCGGCTGAAGTGATGAGTCTCAAACAGGAGATTAGAGGGCTCAAGCATGAGAATAAACAGTTGCACCGGCTCGCACATGACTATGCTACAAACATGAAGAGGAAGCTTGACCAGATGAAGGAAACTGATGGTCAGGTTTTACTTGATCATCAGAGATTTGTGGGTTTGTTCCAAAGGCATTTATTGCCTTCGTCTTCTGGGGCTGTACCGCGTAATGAAGCTCCAAATGATCAACCTCTGATGCCTCCTCCTTCTAAGGTTCTGTCCAGTACTGAGGCTCCAAATGATCCCCCTCCGGTGCCTTCTCTTTCTGGGGCTCTACCGACTGCTGAGACTTCTCCTAAGCAACCTTTGTGAAGGCTCCCTCTTGTGTGCTTATTTTGACTCATGTATATGTACATATTTGTAGCTTATCGGGGATATCAATAAATAAGCTTTCCTTCATTTCAACGTATTGTGTTAAATACACCAAAGCCTTCTACGCTAAGTTCTTTGAATTTTCTTTTGTTAAAGCTTGTATGTTGAAGCTTTCTGAGTGGAGCATGTAGGTTGGGGTAGTGTTCATTTCCCGAGTGAGGAAAACTTCTCGGTTGGAGACTTGGAAAATCCAAGTCACTGAGTGGGATCGGCTATATGAATCTTAGAACGCCATTGTGCTCGATCCTGTGTCATGTCCTTCGTTAGATCCAAGTACTCTAAGTCTTTTCTTAGAGTCTCTTCCAAAGTTTTCCTAGGTCTTCCTCTACCCCTTCGGCCCTGAACCTCTGTCCCATAGTCGCATCTTCTAATCGGAACGTCAGTAGGCCTTCTTTGCACATGTCCAAACCACCGTAACCGATTTTCTCTCATCTTTCCTTCAATTTCGGCTACTCCTACTTTACCCGGATATCCTCATTCCTAATCTTATCATTTCTCGTGTGCCCACACATCCAACGAAGCATCCTCATCTCCGCTACACCATTTTGTGTACGTGTTGATGTTTCACCGCCCAACATTCTGTGCCATACAGCATCGCCGGCCTTATTGTCGTCCTATAAAATTTTCCCTTGAGCTTCAGTGGCATACGGCGGTCACACAACACGCCGGATGCACTCTTCCACTTCATCCAAAAAAAAATAAACAGTCAACGTGTGGATTGGGATCTCACATGACAACCGAACGCCGTTGCCCATGTAATCTCAGTGGGCGGCAACTTATAGACTTAAAGGTGGCGTGGTGGTAACGAGTGAAACAACGTAATAAGAAGGACTAGGAACATAGTATTCTAATTTTTTCTTGGAAATCTTTAATCAATATACATTAATTATTGCGCTGCTGGTCTTAAAAAATAACAAAAATGTTATTTTTATCATATATTTGTATTATCATTTATACTATTTTTATAATAAAGACATGACCATATGCATTGACGTATCAGACCTACAAATAAACACCCAAATATATAACAACTTTAACATAAACAAAAATAATAATAATCAATTATCAGCTGCCCAATTACAAGGCGTGTAGTGTAAGGGTAAAATGGTCATGCCTCAATCAATACTTTTCAGCTGCTTCAACCAAAAAAGCTTGCAACGACACCCACTATAGGTCTCTGAAGGACGCCAAAACCCGTACTCCCCCCCTCTCTCTCTCTCTCTCTCAATTTCAAAATCCCTCTCTCTCTCTCTAGCCAGAGGGCCAGTGAAACACGTTTTACAATGTACCCTGACGTCCCGCCTGGCGGTGCCGTCGCGTATCCGACGAGGCCTGGCTACCGGAAGTTCGGAGATGTCAGGGCCACCCAGTTGATAGTGGAGGTTGCGGCGGCGAGAGACCAACACCACTACGATGTAAGCCCTCCTTCTCCTTCCTCTGTTGGTATTTTTCTACGTTTTCCTTTTAGTTTTATGTTTTTGAAAACTCAAAACTCCAAATTTTCGTTTACTTTTAAGTTTTTACAAATTTTAAAAATATTTCTGAGTATTTTTTAATTTTTAGTTATTGTTTGGTCTTCGAAACACCGGCGCTCCTCCATGGTTTCAGTCGTTCGTAGAGGAACCGGCGGTTCTGGAGTGCCTACTGCTTTTTCAATGTATTTTCAATTTTTTTTTATTTTTAGTTATTTTTTTTAGGGTGGTCCTTTTTGCTTTTTCAAGCCTACTGCTTGTAAACCTGAGTCGCTCATGGCGATTTTTGGGATCATTTGGGGTTCTCAAAACTCCTTTCCGGTTCCTATTGACGAAGAGCAAACAACCCTTTATATTTTTTAAATTTTCCTATGTATTTTCTTCTTGCCGCAATCCTACTGCTGTAAATCTGACTCAGAGGGTTTCCGGGAACAATGTAATTCTTTTGGTATTTTCTGAGTCCCATTAAACATGCCTTTTCTTGAGAACCCCTGAAGTTGCATCGAAAACGATCAACAGTCAGGTCATTAAGCAATTTGTTCTTCTGTGCAAGGAGTCTCAGCTAGGAAAGAGAATGCCAGCTTATGGTGGCATGAAAAGTATTTACCGCAGGGCCCTTACCAGTTGCCTCGAAAGATTCTGTGGTGAAGTTGGCCGAAAAGGATGGTCCAGGAGTCTTCGTCCTTCCGATGGCGGCTCAAGCTCACTTGCCACCACCGATGGCTCAAGCATCTGCTCTGGCGGGCCGGCGCCAGCTCAGGCGTCCTCCAGCTCGGCGACCGCTCCGCCACTGTCGTCGTCGTCGAAGCGTCCTTTTTACTTTTTCAAGCCTACTGCTTGTAAACCTGAGTCTCTCATGGCGTTTTTGGACCCAAAAATCATTTGGGTTCTCAAAACTCCATTCCGGTTCCTATTGACGAAGAGCAAACAACCCTTTATATTTTTAAAAATTTCCCATGTATTTTCTTCTTGCCGCATTCCTACTGCTGTAAATCTGACTCAGAAAGTTGATTTCCTACGGCTGTAAATCTGCTCTTCGTCAATAGGAACCGGAAAGGAGTTTTGAGAACCCCAAATGATTTTTGTAAAGGCACTGACCACCCCCCATTATCATCCTTTGTAAAGGCACTGGTGAAGCCATGACATTGTAGATCTGCTGGTGAGAACTGTTAAGATCCCCGCCAACGACCAGGGCACCGGCGGGATCACAACACCTAAACTGGTAAGCCGTAAATGCCGCTCTATGGCAAACTCATCATCTGTTATTAATAATATAGTATTTTAGGAACCAACAAACTGATGCCATATTAAAAGAAAATAGACAATGATTGGTAAAAGAAAAACCCAGAAAATAAAAATAAAAATTTTACCTCTTCACGAACCTGCATGAGCATCAGCCACCAACTTCCGGTTATGCCGTTCATGGTCATGTAAATGTCGCCCCACCTCCAATGCAGATTCGGGCATGATTCGTTGAGAATAAATCCCCATAAATCAGAGAGCCTAGAATCCATGGCTACAAGTATATCTGTAGAGTGTGCATAAGCGATATTGGTCGTCCTGTGTGATTCTAGGCTCTGTGATTTATGGGGATTTATTCTCAGCGAATCATGCCCGAAGCTGCATTGGGGATGGGGCGACATTTACATGACCATGAACGGCGTAACCGGAAGTTGGTGGCTGATGCTCAAGCAGGTTCGTGAAGAGGTAAAATTTTTATTTTTATTTTCTGGGTTTTTCTTTTACCAATCATTGTCTATTTTCTTTTAATATGGCATCAGTTTGTTGGTTCCTAAAATACTATATTATTAATAACAGATGATGAGTTTGCCATAGAGCGGCATTTACGGCTTACCAGTTTAGGTGTTGTGATCCCGCCGGTGCCCTGGTCGTTGGCTGGGATCTTAACAGTTCTCACCAGCAGATCTACAATGTCATGGCTTCACCAGTGCCTTTACAAAGGATGATAATGGGGGGTGGTCAGTGCCTTTACAAAAATCATTTGGGGTTCTCAAAACTCCTTTCCGGTTCCTATTGACGAAGAGCAGATTTACAGCCGTAGGAAATCAACTTTCTGAGTCAGATTTACAGCAGTAGGAATGCGGCAAGAAGAAAATACATGGGAAAATTTTAAAAATATAAAGGGTTGTTTGCTCTTCGTCAATAGGAACCGGAATGGAGTTTTGAGAACCCAAATGATTTTTGGGTCCAAAAACGCCATGAGAGACTCAGGTTTACAAGCAGTAGGCTTGAAAAAGCAAAAAGGACGCTTCGACGACGGTGGCGGAGCGGTTGCCGAGCTGGAGGACCAGCTCCTTTACAAAGGATGATAATGGGGGTGGTCAGTGGCCAGCAGCTGCGGGGTCTTGATCAGACCAGTAAGTCAAAATATAATGTAATATTTTTGCAATATGAAGTCATTCTTCTGCTAACAGATTTTTGTTTGCAGCATCATTCTCCGAGATCTTCCTGCAGATGGGGCTCGAGCAGTAGAGTTTGTGAGGGACCTTTTACACCAAGCTGCAGCGAACGACCCGTACAGCGGCGGACACTTATGGGGTAAGCGTTAATTGCAATTATATGCTTATTTCTCATGTCTCCAATATGTTTTAATACTTTTTAGTCTACATGTTATTGTATTTTGCAATTTATGTATATTTTAAATAGACACTTATTTTATGATATGTAATAAATTAACTTAAATCCGTCTAGTCCGCCTAGGCACTAAGTCCTAGCCCCCCGCCTAACTAGCACCTAGCGTCTCTTAGAACATGGCGTGTTAGTAGAAGCATTGAGTTGACTTTTTCCAGTCTTCTTGATTGCTTTTTACAACTGGTTCATATGATAATTAGCAATGATCAGTTATGAGTAATGGCCCTTGCTTAAATGGGTTCATAATTTCATATACAAGTTCTATGATAACCATTTGCCTTTTAATTTTTTAGTTCGGTTATTTTACAAAATTAGAACCTTCAACAGTTCTTCTGTGCAAGTATTAGGGAATCATTGTTTGTTTTTAATTGCAGTGAGGCTAAACGTTAAAAGGGCTAGTGAGTACAAGTATCTTAATCAGAGTGATTGTTTGGAAATTGATGGTGTAGGTGATGCGCGGAAGTTTCATATACTTCTGGTAAGTAAACAGATAGTTGTTTATATCACCATTCAAGCAGTCAATACACTTTCTTTTCTGGTTTGTTCCTTCTATAACCAAAGTGTCACTTTCTTCCTTGTTTTATTGTTTTCGCATCTTCTCAGGAAGTGCTGATGTTGTTCAAGTCTGTAAGGAAGATCAAGAACACATGCTTTCATTGCTGGCCGCAGTGTTATGGCTGGGAAACATATCATTTCAAGCAATTGACAATGAGAAGCATGTGGAAGTGTTGGCTGATGAAGGTAATATACGGGTCATTCACTTGGTGATCTTTCCGTGGGAACTTTTGCATACAATGCTGATTCTAAGCCAGTTGCATTCCTGGCTTGGATTTTTAGTGATAGTTCTAACTACTTAGCTTTCTATTTGGTCATTAACTGCATCACTGGAATGGCATTTTTAGGTCCACAACTGCAGTCATATTATTGAGCAGTGTTAAGAGTGTGACCTTTAAGATTTTGTCTATCCCAAGTTTTGTCTGAGATTTTCCTCAGTTTCTGATTTCATTCCATGTCAACTATCTGCGGTCTCAGAATGTGTTTGTTTTGTTAGGTCAAACATATATTACTTTTGGACCTACACTTGAATAGATGCCGACATATGAGTAACTTCTCTTGATTTTCTTTCTTTCTCTTGTATTCAGGCAATTGTTGCAAGAAAGGTATTGGCAAAATTTATCTTTGTGAGCTTGTTTGACTGGCTTGTAGAACAAATTAACTAGTCACTTGCAGTGGGGAAATGCTGTACTGGGAGATCCATCAGTATACTTGGTATTTACGGGTTTGAGTCATTCCAGGTAATAATATATACTTCACTTTTGGTGATGTTTGCAATAAGATTTGTGTATTTAGTAATGATCTTAAGGGCTATTTTTCAAAGAACGGCTTTGAACAAATGTGTATTAATTATGCAAATGAGAGGCTGCAGCAACATTTCAACCGACAATTATATAAGCTTGAGCAGGAGGTGAGCATCTCAAGTGCAATGTAGCATTAAGGTTACTTAGTGTCAGGCTACATGTTATGACTAAACGTTTGAATTGTGACAATCCTTTTACTTCAGGAATGTGAATTGGATGGGGTTGATTGGACTAAAGTTGATTTTCAAGACAATCAAGAATGCTTGAATCTATTTGAGAAGGTATTTCATTGATTTAAGCCTTCCATATCATTGACCTGCTAATTTTTCATCACAAGTTCATTAGATTCATCTTCACTGTATAGTATATATGACATTCAAATCAACTCGTATAATTTATGACAATGAGGGGTTGTGCCTTTACATGTTTGCTTTACCTTGATTTGAATGCTTACGATATCTTAATAGGGTTCCACATTGCATGATAGCTATAAAAGCTATGAATTTGGTGGTATTAGTCTTCTGTTTTCTGTATATTTTTTTAAAGAAACACTTCAATAGCTCAGCTGGAGGAAAACCCCTCAACTATCCATTTCACTTGTAATGTTCTAATTGATTCTTAATTGTAAAATTCATTGGGCGCTCTTCTCCCATTGCAAAGTAAGAAGGGTGCTTTTCTGAAGTGATCAAAGTATTTGCCTCTTTCGTTAAAGCCATTATGTGAATCTGCTGATTAGTTCTTTGAAAAGAATCTGGTGGATTTCGTTATCAAGTATGTGGCCAGCTCTTCTACTGAGCTTGAACTTTGTATCACCTTTAATGCTCCTTATTATTATGCAGACGAGTCTTTCTGTAGCCAGAAGGAGTTTTGCATCTGACAATACTGCTGGTCAACCTGGAAGACTAGGTTCTGTTTCATCACCCTGCTACGATTCTGAAGAAGCCACATCTTTGGGACCTGGAACTCCTGGTGCAAGCACACCCTTTAATGGAGCAGGGTGTCAGGCTAACGGCAGTTCAAATGCAGTCAGCAATCTGTTGAGGGAATTTGAGCAGTGAGACAGATATTCGGTGATGATACGAAAGCTCTAGTTGAAGGTTTAACCTGGGCGGTCAGCTGCAAATATGAATCCTGAGGAAGATCTACGAAAACCTGAACACCGCTTTGAGTCCTGGAAGAAAGAGTACAAGGCAAGATTACGGGAGACAAAGACAAAGCTTTATAAAATTTGGCACACAGGAGGAAAAGTGACGGAGAAAATGGTGGGGAAAGATAGACTCAAGAGCATTGTAATATCTTGTTTTAGATGATCAATCACCGTCTCATGATGGACCAAGAAGGAGGTACCTAAGAGGATGATTGAAGAAAGGAACGTTCTCAGTAAGCTACCTCTCCTTCTTCATTAGCTTCTCCTCTGTTTACATATATGGCATCACATATCGGTGAATTTGGTGTGGGGTAGTATTTTTTTTTGGTAAACTGGATTTATAACCAGGGCAAAGCCAATAAAGATACAAGGGAGATCAAAGCAAGGACCAACCCACAAACATAACATAATAAACTACAACAGAGTGACAAAGGGAATAAAGACCCGACACAAACCACAACTTTGTGTCACCCTAAATCCTGCCATTGAAAGTGGAATCACATAAACTTAAAATTACTTCCTTTGAATCAGATTCCATAATGATTTTGTCTAGCTCCAAGTTCTTGGCAGGCATACATCCCTCCAAAATTGCCTTAGCCTCCGCCACTTGAACGCTTGAAGCCGATATACATAATTTCCTTGCAGCAACAAACTTACCATTCAAATCTCGAATCACCATTGCAACATTTCCTTTCTTCGTTGTAGCATTCCAGCTAGTGTCCACATTTACTTTAAACAGGAGGAGACCAAGCAGATATGGGTTGAGAATTACCTTGTAGATTTCCATGGTTGTCTGAACTTGTCCGCATCCCGCTTATAGCCCTTTGAGTTCTCCTAGTAGCCTCCATAAAAGCAGCACATCTAATCTTGTGAATAACCTGCAAAGGTGACACACTCTTTTGATTGAAAATAGCATTACATCTCTCTTTCCAAATACTCCAACAAGTGAACGCCACTTGTGACAAAATTCATGTTTTATCCTACTTATTGCCCATGATATGCACAATTAAAAAGTGCAACGAATTATTAAAAGTATCAATTTCATGTTTATTCACCTTATAGTTAAGTTGTTCTCCAAACCAGACAGGTTCAACCAATGGACAAAGAAAAAACATATGCTCCATAGTCTCCTCTTACTCATTACAAATGGGGCATAATGGAGAGTCAGCAACACGTCTCTTAAAGAGGGCCAACCTTGTAGCAAGAGCTCTATGGACAACTCTCCACATAAAAGTGCGAATTTTAGGAGGGGTTTCCAGCTTCCAGATGCATTTCCAGACTTGGCAACTAATTGATGCCTGGAGGAAGAGCTCCGGTTTCGATTAGACTCCTTATCATGAATCCAATGATAACCCGATTTCATCGTATAGACACCCCTTTTCTCCAAAGGCCAAATTAATCTATCATTACAGGAAGGATCCCCAATTTTTATTTCTTTTATCTCATTAAGCTCCCTCTCAGAGATGCAAGAACTAATGGGTTGAACATCCCATTCTTGAGAGGAAGGCCGAATTATAGAAGCAACATTTTGGTTTGGGTTTATATTAGAATCCTCACAAGGATTAGGATGCCCATTTGGTAATGAAGGAATCCATCGATCGACCTATAACCGTATTGTTTCACTATTCATCACCTGCCATTGAGCATCGCCCAATAAAATCTCTCTCCTTTCCAATAAGCTTGCCCAAGCCCACGAAGCTCTACTTCCTTTTTTTAGCTTCCAGAAATGATGAATTCAGAAAGTATCTTGCCTTCATAACTCTCACCCATAAGGATTCCGGCTCCATCACCATTCTCCAACATTGTTTAGCCAACAAAGCCACATTAAACTCCTGTAAGTTCCTGAAACCCAAACCTCCCTCTTGTTTTGGCAAACCTAATACATCCCAACTAACCCAGCGAATCTTTTTATCATCATAATTTTGTCCCCACCAAAACCCAGCCACAAGAGAGTCAAATTCTTTACAGATACTTGCAGGAAATTTAAAAATATTCATTGGGTAAACTGGTACAGCTTGAGCAACCGCTTTAATAAGCATCTTCTTTCCCGCATGAGACAACAACTTCTGTTTCTATCCCTGGATTTTCCTTAATAATCGATCCTTAATATACCCCAAAGCTTGACGTTTAGACCTACCCCAAATTGTTGGCAAACCAAGATAAGTACCAGGATTACCAACAATTTGCATTCCAATAGCACCCTATTCTTCCATTACATTTCTTGGGGTATTAGCACTGAAATACATACTTGATTTATTAAGACTAACTTGTTGGCACGAAGCATCACAATAAGCATTTAAAATCTTAATAATGTTCCTGCAATTTTGTTGATTGGCCTGGAGAAAAATCAAGGTATCATCCGCAAAGAACATATGCAAAAATACCTTCGGACAATTTTTTGAAACTAATTTGTTAATCCCCTCTTCAAAAATAAATTTATTATACCATTTAATCTCCACATGTTCTAATCTTCCCTCTATGAATAATAAGAACACAAAGGCCGGCATGTCAGTTAAGAACTTTTCTTCTCTCTACCTTTTTATACGCTATAATATACATATATATATATTGAAAAGTTTGTAATTTTTTGGATAGAGGTGAAAGACTTAGAGAGGTATTCTCCTTCTGAAATGCAGTCCACGGAAGAAAAGTGTTAATATAGTAAGATTTTTTTTTTCCTTTTTAAAATTTTTTTTTCTTTACCCAGGGATTTTTGATTTGTGCCCCAAAATATTTGATTTATTAATCGTTTTGTTTGGGAGTGATTATAATATTCATCATAGGATAACTCAACCACTATTCTCATTTGGCAATAGGAATTTAGATAATTACCCAAATTTCAATAACGCTGGTCGAGAGAGGTGATTGAACGCCGATGGTTGACAGAGAGACTCTCCCATTTCTCTAAGCACTATTTCCTATCTTCTACTTCTAAGTTTGACGCGAAGATTTCGTTTAATTTAGAGATTTGGGGGTACCTTCAGTTGAGAGGTCGACATATATTCTTTACAATGAATAATATCCTTATAAAGATTCAAAACTCTTGCTACTTGAGTTCACTTCTAGTTTCAATGAAAAAAGCTAACCTTGTGGAGAATTTTCTTTCTGTGTTGTGCTCATTTTAAGGCAATCTTATCTCAGAGATAATCCAGTAATAGAATACATTTCAACCATATATTTGTAATGAAATTTATTATTTGTACCTGGCTATCTCGGTGTCTATCAATATTATAGCTAGTAGGTTGGCGAGGAGGTGGGAGAAGGGGGGATACTTTTTTTTTTGATCGTAATCTTTTTTCGCTTGGTAATAAGTGATGTGGGGTTTTTCCCCTTTACAAAAGTTTTGTTTATCGAGTTTGGGTTTGGTCATTGAGATTTGGTTTAAGTAAAGAAAAAGTCACCTTCTCTCAGGGCTTAGTATGGTTCCCTGTACTATAGATATATAATGTTGTGTTATAGAGGCTATATTTATTTTTGGGGGGAGAGGGAAGCTCAAAGTTATGTGGACATTAGAAAAAAATTTAGGGCGCACAAAATTGGAGAACAAACCAAACAAAAAACTCCAAATAGTTCTGCGGTAAATCGGAGATTACGATGGCGGCCATATTAAAGGAGAAAATAAACTGGCAAAGAACAGAAACTCCATTAAGGATTTTGGGCAATAATTTTTCCTTTGCCATTGTGGGTTTTAAAATTTGGGTGGTAAGATTTTATTTTAATATTTATATTTTTTTGTGTGGGTGCTAATATTTCTCGGGATGGGGGGCTAATTTTGTTAGGGGGGGTTTTTAAAAATTTATGTAAAATTTTTTTGGGAATTTTTTTTTCCCAAAGGGTTTTATTTAGAGAGATTTTGGTAGAGTTTTTTTTGATATGGATTTGGGGGGAGAAGAGATTGTTTTATTAATTTTAAACATATCTTTATCAAAGGATTTTATATGATATGGTATGTCCCTTTTGTGGGCCCACCTGCTCTAGAAATGATTCATCTGGCCCCCAGGTCGAAATGGTGAAGAGCGCAGAGAGAACTTAACTATGGTGTTATCTGTGCTATCCTTATATGATCGCCTATGTTTCAGTCGGTAGGGGAACGTTATTTCTTCAATATAGAAAAAGTTCAGTTGTTTTGTGAAACTACTTATTTCTGTTTTTTTAGGTGTGTATATTAATATTTGGTGGTGTATATGTGCTAAGTGTTATAATATTTGGTAGATATCTTGTTTAATTTGTAACTCTCTCCTCTCGCGCGGAGTGGTTGTGAGAATTATATTATATAACTTCACTTTATATTTTTTTTCCAGGGGGATTATCCAAAAAAGTGAGTGGGTATGAAGAAAAGGTGTAGTGATTTTTAGTATCGTCGTGCGGATTGTTGTCACATTATTGTGTTGTTTATTCTTATATACCGAACATTGTTGTTATCTCTTTCTTCTTCCTCAAGAATATTATCATTCGAAATATCAGAGCAGAATACAAACAGAGAGCGGGGCGGGCGTGGGGGGGGGCTCTTCCAAAATAATTACAAGGTTTCCATCTTACAGGAATTTTTACCTCGAACAATTTATCCTGGTTTCACGAAGATCTAAATGTCTGTTGTTTTTTCAAGGTTTTTTTGGGGGTTTTTTTAGTCCATCTCGAGTGGTGCGACTCTGAAACTACAAAAAAACAGAGCAAAAGGTTCACCAAGTCGTGGAAAACAGCGAAAGGGGAGGGTTCGCGCAAAAGTTCTCTTTGTATATGCCACACAGAGCAGCAGCAATGTAGAACTGAGATTTAGAGACATCACCTCTCCGTGTCTCTCATACAAGCTCGGAGGGTTATGTCCTAACCCGGACAACAATATCATGCTAGTCCTCGGCGCGGCCTTTAATCAGTGTGTTTGATCGGGAGGAAACTGGTATAATTTATCCTCTTGTATAGTTGGAATCCTCAAAGCACACAGTGGCGGACGTGAGGTCCTGCGTGGAGCGACTCCTCTCAAATATCTGATCCGCATATTTCTCTATTTAGTTTAGTCTCACATTAAAAGAGCAAGGACAAGAGCAAAGGGTATTGGACCACACTCCAGATCCAATTCTTACTCACAGCAAGCGAGAGTGTGCATGACAAAGAGAACTTGTATATACAGTGAGCCCTGTAACCGTGGTGTTGCGCGGCTGCCTTGTAATAGATGGTGCCCTCGTGAGTTAATTCAGTGTGTATAGTGTGTGAAAAATAGATTTTAGAGCCGTGCGCTGCTTGAGCGTTGTATTGCTCTCTTTTATATGATATGACAATTCTTAGTCCGAGCCTCACTACCGAAATCAAAGTTTGTCTCTCCTCGATACTTCGCTCACTATGAGTGAGAATAGCTCGGAATTTAAAGAAGCATGATGTTCAGATGTACTTCAGAGATCGATCTCGAGAGTATGGCCCACTACCTACAAGACAGCTCCGTTAATCTCTCTCCTGTGTAAAAAGAGACGTATAGGGCTCAGCAGGCACGAGAGCCCAAAGATGTATGGACTGGTGATCTCTCTAAAAATAGATCCACCGAGGAGAGTAAAGGCCGATTCACAGCCTAATCAATTCAGGAGGTACTCTCTGGTCAAGTGAGATGGTACCGCGTGAGCATGGGTGGATGTCCTATATATGCGATTCTTTTTTAAGGACTACTTAAACATATATAGTCGATGTATAATAAATAAACATTATAAGGTGCGCGAAGTGATTTATCGCTCTCATTCTCATTCCCTAGTAGAGCTCATCCTTCATATAATAATGAAAGCTGGCTATGATAATCGTTTATAAAAATAAATGTTATGAGTTAGAGATTGAATATGAAAATCGCACAATAGAGAAAAATATAGAAAAATGAGATCTCAAATATAAAGAGTTGTGAGAAGATAATAACATTATATATTACACAATACGTCTACTCTAAGTAAATTTGTCTCTCAACATCATAAAGAACCTTACACAAGAGGAAAAACAATAATGAAAGACATAAAAAAATTTCCTTAATAATAGATGACTAAATATTAAATACAATAATAAACACATATTAATTAAGTAAAAGATAGGTGGATATATATAAGTATATTTAAAAGGCGTTACCTTACCACAAATAAATCATCTCCTCACAAAATGTCAACAGAATATATTTTCACCATAAAGGAATATTTAAGAAGGTGAAGCCTGAAGTAATATCACTAACTCTCCGCGCTGATACCATTAAGCACGCGGAATCAAAAAGGTTGAGGGAGCGAGCAAATAATGCATAACCCCCTATCTTACTCCGCGAGCGGGACTGGAAGGAGAGTGAGCTGATTCTTGAGCGCGTTGGTAGTAAAAAGAAGAAATAAACAGATAGGATATAAGTTAAATAATTATAGTGCATTGTATTACTCTAGATGAGATCACTGGAAGAGCTGCGGACGAAGTATTAGTGGCCCGAGGAATGCGACTTTCGTATATAAAAAGGTAGCCAGCCGAAAGATATTGGTTTGTTCGTGTGAACAGAAAGTAGATCGCCGCGGGATAAGAGCGGAGAGCGAAGGGAAAATGGAGGTTGCAAAAAGCGATAATATATAGTTTGGCTCCCCCCCAGCGCCCAGCAATTGCTTTGACAGACTAGAACCAAGGCGGGAGGTCGTCTATTTGTCTCTCTTTAATGCGTGTTTAAAAATAGTTGATCTTAATTTTTATATAATAGGGTGGGCCGTTGCGGCCAGAGGAATATGAAGACCGGTGAGGACAAGCATAAAAGGGATATTTATAGCGAGGGAACGATGCATCGAAAGATGGTTAGAAAAGAAATGAGACCATTGCCAAGTCGTATTACAAAACTTTTTACCGGTAGTCCCATTTCCGGGCTCAATATCACCTAAATGAGGCTTTTTTTCTAGTAGGGTCTGTTTTGAGAGTTTGAATATAGGTGTGGGTTTTTGCCAATATGTGTGTTAGCGGCTAAGGGGCCATCTCATGTAAGTTCTCCCTAGTGTGAGTGGTGGGTATAGAAAATTAAGAATGGACATGCACGAGTGTCGAGAGGTTGTCCCACTATTTGGTGTGGGGGGCTTCTTCGCATTTATATTCTTAGTTTGATATGTGGGCGACCTCCTCTTGTGAGAAGAACTGCGGGGAGATAAAAATCTCTTTATTTGCAGACCTACTCTGGTGGGGGTAGGTGGTCGCATTTTGCCCCCTCCAAGATTAGTGAACATACCAGAAATCTCTCTTCTGGCTGGAGCGAGAACAACACTAGAAGGGTATAGGAGACGAAGAAGAGGCATAGACATTTTATGTAAAATAAGATAAGCAGACGCTCGATGCTCATCCTCT